CAGCAGCAGCGCCGCACAGCGCCGCACACACTCGATACAGACTCGGTCAGCACTCTGTACGTGTAGCCGGCTGGCCTTGCTGGTCCCCAACGGTCCTTGCGTCCATCACACTGTAGATAAATCACGGGCCCTCCAAGTAGTGCGTGATCCGGGCCGACCGACCCGGCCAAGCCCGGCCCACAGTGGATTTGCCAGAGGACCGGTGGAGGCGGCCAAAACTCTAGACACGCGTTTTGTGCTCCAGAGTCGCTAAACAGGACTAGAATCGAACGTGTGACCCCACCAATGGATTGCTCTCCGGACGAGGAATCCATTGGCGGGGTCACGTTCGGTTCGAGCTCTGTTTAGCGACTGGAGCACGAAACGCGTCTAGAGTCTGGGCCGCCTCCACCGGTCTTCTGGCAAATCCACTGTGCGCGGCCCCTGGAGTGCAATCAGCTCGACGCCGCGCGCCTCGGCGTGCTGCTGGCGGTGGAGGCCGAGGCCGTGGACTCGGGGCTCGGTCGCGGCGAGGCTGATTAGCATGACAATCGGATTGCCGCCCCGGAATGCATCGCGGCGCGGCGGCCCGCCGGCCCGGCCCGGCGCGTGAGTTATACCAACACGGCCGCCGCCAGCACCGCCAGCACCGCCAGCCGCCACGGACCACCGAGCCTCGCAGCCCCGGCAGCCCCGGCGGCGGGGCGGGCTTTGTTCAGCATTCTTGGAATGGGGGATGGCGCGGCGCGGCGCGGCGCGAACCCCTGTCGGGTATGCCCGGCCATGCCGCGGTGCCGCGTCGCGTAGATCGGCTCATCCCCGTCGGAAGGCGTGGGGTGGGGCGTGGCGGGGCGTGGCGGGGCGTGGCGGGGCGTGGAGATACGGGGATGATTTGCAGGGCCATGAAGACCGCCATCAAGGCCGCAGAGCGAAAAAGGTCGCCCCATTTTTTCAGCCACCGAAAGCGACATTGGGAGGGCAAGCAGGCGGCACGGACCTCCAGAGAGGTTCAAATTGGGGAGACTCTCACTGCGCGAGTTGAGGAAGCCTCACGGCGAAGGTAGCTGGCTGGCTGCAGGGCTGGCCGGCTGCAAATCGGGTTTGTGGGCGTGGAGGCCGCGTGGCCCAAGATGGATGAGCCCTGCCTATCGCACTGCCTTATGGAGGAAGCCGCACCGCATCCAGCCGCCCCGCCCCGCCCCGCCCCCGCCTGGTTTGGCTCAGTTTAAATATGAATGCGTGTCAGAGGTGAAATATACGCCGAACCAGCCAGCGCCGGGCAGCGCCGGGCAGCGCAGCGCTGTCGCGTGGCAGCGGCCGGCGCGCTGCAGCGGAGCAGCGCTGCCCTATCACTTCACTCGGCGTTCTTGTTGTTATTCCGAAGCGGACGCAGCTGCAGCAGTCTGGCTCGGTCTGGCGGGCGTGCCGGCAGGGAGCATGGCTGGGAGGCTGGGAGCAGTGGCCATCCCTCGGCACTAAATCAGCCACGTGTATTCACTCCATCCTTGGCTTTGCCGGTCTGTCTGTCTGTCTGTCTGTCTGTCTGTCTGTCTGTCTGTCTGTCTGTCGGTCCGGCCGGCCGGCTGGCCTTGTCCTCGACGCCGCGAGCCTCTTTCAGCCCCCTGACTCGGTTTAGCAGTGTCGCACTCATCCCTATGCACACAGCCCCCCTCTCTGCCGCGCCAGGCCGCCATGGCGCCCTCCCCTGCTGCTGTTGTCGTGATATATTTTTAATTACCTTGTTTTATCCGTATGAATAGGGGCACTGTGTGCGTGTGTCTGTGTGTGTGTCTCTGTGTGTGCGTGTGTGTGTGTGTGTGTGTGTGTGTGTGTGTCTGTGTGTGTCTGTGTGTGAGCCCGTGACGCGGCGCGCGGCGTGTTGTGTGCTGCGGTTGCAAAATGTAAACGCTCGCTCATTTCCAGCCAGGCAGGCCGGGCAGGCTGGGCTGAGCGGGATGCGCTGTGCGCTGTGCCCTGTGCGCGTCCACTCCTGCGTGTCTCGCTCCCCCCCTCCCCCTCCCCCTCACACCCCCTTGTCGATCTGATGAACTGATCGAGTTTGTGGCTTCCCGTTGGGCGAACCGGCCTCCAGATGGGCTGCGGCGGGGCGGGCGGGGCGGGGCGGGGCGGGGCGGGGCGGGGCGGGGCGGGGCGGGGCGGCGCTGCTCGTTAGGACCGCATGACATGCCTGTCGCCTGATGAGTCCCATGTGCACGTGCGCGGCCGTGCGGGGCGGTCACGTGTCACGGTGCGGGGTGCTGCCCTATGCTGCCCTATGCTGGCTGCCCCGCTGGGCCGCACGCAGAGGAAGCGGGTTCGCGCCCCCCTTCCCCCTCCTTTTTTTCTGGCGGCCTACATCGGTACCGGAGGGCAGGGGGTTTTTCGGCCTGATTGCCGCGTTCTCGGCGCCCGCTCCGCCCGCTCCGCCCGCTTCTCCCTCTCCCCGCCGAGGCCCCTTTCGGGGGGCGTCCTCGGTGGGGCGAGGCGGCGAGGCGCTGTCTACTCGCACTTTATTACGGTGTCCGCCCCCCGTCGCCCCGTCGCCCCGTCCCTTCCAGCACCCTCCCTCCGGACGGGCGCCCTCTATGTTTTCCCTCTCAGAGAGATTGCGGATCAGGGAGGCATGCGTTTGTTACGTTTGCCGAATCGGAACCTTGAGACTTTGCCACCGCCCTTGCCCTTCCTTCCCTCCCTGTGTGTGTGTGTCCGTGAGTGTGACGGTGTCGGTGTGCCGTCGCTGCGTCGCCGCAGTCCGCGCCACTACACTGTCGCCCACTCGCGCCGTCCTAATGAGTGATGCTCGCGGTCGTTGTCGTCATTAAAACCGACTCGAATCACCGGCCCGCTTTGCCTCGCTTCGCCACACTTTTGCAGTGGCCTTGCAGAGCGGCACAGCAGCAGCCCGATTCCGAGAGTCGTTTTCACCGCTCTGTCTCTGTCGCACCTACACGGCACGCCCCATGAGTGCGACAGAGACAGAGCGACGGCGACGACTCGAGGAATGAGGCTGCAGCAGCGCGCACGATAAATCCAGAACTCTGGGCCTTTCGGGTGTGGCTGCGCTGCCTGCGCTGCCTGCGCTGCTGGCCCCATTAACGCCCCCAAGTGGGACGCCGACGAAACGGCGCGTGCTGCCAGCGGACAGACTCTCCGAGAGTCGTTTTCGTCGCTCTGTCTCTCTCGCGCCCCTCCGGGACGCCGCGTGAGTGCGAGAGAGACAGAGCGACGAAGACGACGTCGCAGTGCTGCTAATCCTTATTCTAATGAGGCGCCGACCGGACGGACGCTACCGATTCCACTCGCTGCTCGTGCTTGACACAGTCTCCGCGAGGCGCCGCGAGGCCAGGCCTTGGGCCAGTCCCCGACACGGACCGGCAGTCCTGGAGTAGTTTGGGAGCGGCAGGACTCCCAGGACCACCCCACCGCCAGGGCCGCCAGGGTGGTGGCGAGACTGGCGAGGCGCCGAAAAGGCTACAGAGTAGAGGAAGGGAAGCGTTGGCCGAGCGGGCCGGGCGCGCCGTGCGTGTCGAACAAACACGCGCAAGATGGATCGCACGGCGGCCGGTTCGGCCCCCAACACACCCACACACTCACACTCCCACACTGGCAGACACACACACACCTTTTCCTCCCCCGGCCCCGCCACCACAAGCCAAACAAGCGGGAGGCGCTCCATTGGCCGCCGAGAAGGCAGATCAGAGATTGGGGAGCCGTTCCCGAAGAACTATTGATACGTTCCCCCCGAACGGCACGGCACGGCACGGCTCGGCGCGGTGCGGCGCGGCCCGACCTGGCCCACACAGACCGGCCCATTCCCATTCCCCATTGTTCGCAGGTGAAGCGCACTGCACCCGGCAGCCACTCAGGGTAGGGCCTGCCGGGGCAGCGGGCAGCGGGGCAGCAGAGGGGGCCAAATCGTGATCTGACCGCTAAGCGACCGCTAGCAGCGTGGGTGGGGCCGGCAGCGCGCCAGCCTCTGCCCTCTTCCGTGGACACTGCCTGCGCACTGCTTGGAGGCTTGCAGGCCTGGGGGCGTGGAGGGAGAGGGCGGAGGGCGCGCAGGTGCGTCCGCCGAGGCGGCCGGGACGGCGACACTGGTTTTCGCGAATGCGAGACATCCCGCCCTCCTTCCCTCGCTCCCGTCGGCGGCTACGAGAAGCACACACACACGTACACTGGAGCGAGCAGGCACCCGAAATTGGACGCGCAAGTCAGATTTCCTCGTCGCGCGACGCGGTGCGACGCGGTGCTCGTCTCGTCCCGGGGGAGAGAAACACGAATAAACAGGACGCGGGGCAACGAAGCGAGGAGTGGAGCGTGGGGCGCAGCCTTGGCGCAGCCTTGGCGCAGCCTTGGCGCAGCGTGCCACGGCACCGCCCCGCCCCGCCCGGCTCCCGGCACATATGCAACCCATTCGACTCGGCCGTGCCGCTGCCTCGCTGTCTGTCGCACAGTGGGCCAGAAGACCGGCGCAGGCGGCCAAAACTCCAGACGCGTTTTGAGCTCTAGAGTCGCTAAACAGGACTCGAACCGGACGTGTGACCACACCAATGGATTCCTCGTTTCGAGAGCAAACCATTGGTGGGGGTCACCCGTTTGGTTCGAGTCCCATTCAGCGAGTGTGGAGCTCAAACCCCGTCCGGGATTTTGGCCTCTTCCACCGGTCTTCTGGCCCACTGTGTGCGTCGCCAAGCAGGAGGAAAGGAACAGCGGGCGAGGCGACCGGCACGCGGCACAAACCACGTTGACACGTGGGCTGCAGATGGCTGCAGAGAGCTCGCCTGAGTGTCAATCCACAATCCGCACATTTAAATAAGCTGATGATTTACTGCGTTGGAAAGATTCTGCGACCACTTTTTATCCTCTTATTTTTTTCCCGTCGCCTCGCACTGTGCTGCGCCACTGTCCTGTCCTCGCGGCGTTTCTGCTTATCACGCCGTGTTCCGCGAAACGGCGTGCCGTGCAGGTCGACCCGCTCGGCGAATGGCGCCCGAACGCGCGTCGGAATGAGGGGCGGAGGGTTCGGGAATGCAGACTGCTTTATTAAACATTCGACGAGGTTTTTCCAATATTTTCACAACCCGGTCGTTTCGCTTTGTTCGGCGCTGCATTAGCGCGATGATGGCTTTTAGGGACGGAGCGGTAATACGGTAATGCGTTGCCGGCCTTGACCGGAAACTAATACGGAACTTAGCAAATTAAGTCACAGCCAACGGTCACCATTACTGGAATGCACAGTGGCGCGAGCGCCGCCGCCCCGGAGCCGAGGCACGGAGGCAGCGGCCGTCGCCACGCCACTGCAAGAGTCAAAATGTCGCTTCAGTCTCGCTCTCTCCCTACAAGCCCCCCTCCCGGGCCGACGTCGTTCTCGTCGACCACGTCGGTCCTAGTGGAACAGCAGGGAGACGAGGACGGCCACGACCAGGGCGGCGACGGGCGTGGCGGCCCGCGCGGCGCTGGACGGCTTGGCGGTCGACGAGGGGGACGGCTTGGGGGACGTCCCGGGCGCTGGCTTCGGGGACGTCCCGGGCGCCGGCTTGGCGGACGTCCCGGGGACCGGCGTGGTGGACGCGTCCGCCGAGACGAAGGTGATGCGGCCCTCCACGGCGGGGTACACCAGCTTGAACCTCTCGATGTAGTGCTGCGTCACGGCCTCGTCCGTGTCCTCTGCAACATTGTTTTTCTTTGAGCGACTTGCTGACGGACTTGTCTTTGTTGTTGCAGGTGAGTGGCGCCGCGGGTGTCGCCCGGGTAGTGCGGGTAAGGTGAAGGCGGTACAAGGGGGCTAGCAGATCGGCGCCGGCGGCCAAAACTCTAGAAGAGTTTTGAGCTCCGGAGTCGCTTAATAGTACCCTTACCGAACGTCGGACCTTACCAATCGATGCCTCGTTCGAAGAGAAATCCAATGGTGGGGTCACGCGTTCGGTTCGAGTCCTACTAAGCGACTCTGAAGCTCAAAACGTGCCCGCCCAGAGTTTCGGCCGCTTCACCGGCGTTCTGGGCCACTGTACTCACGCAGCTGCTCGCTGCCCTCGTTGTCGGCCAGCATGGTGAAGCCGTCGCCGCCGTTGCCCATGAAGCCGTTGACGATGACGCCGTACAGCTCGCTGGGGTCCAGGGGGCTGTAGGCGGGGATCTTGCAGGCGCCGCAGCGCACCTCGGCGCTCACCACGCGCTGCCCGGCCGGCCTGGACACGTCGTAGGTCACGCGGATACCTGTGGGCACCCGGGCAGTCGGTGGGTCCGTGGCAACGAGCTGGCTCGTGGTGCTGGAGGTTCTGGGTTCGACGCCCCATAGATGCGGCGTTTGTGTACTGACCGGAGAACTGCAGGAAGGCGCCCTTCCAGGCCTGCCCGGGGACGTACTCGCTCACACTGTGCTCCAGCGCCTGCATCAGCACCTTGCCGCGGAGCTTGAGCTTGACCTGCAGGTTGTCGAAGGGCATCACCTCCATGATGTCCTTGAGGGTGATTTGGCCTGGGGAGGAGAGCACCGAGACGGTTCAGACAAGTGGACGCGATTCGGGCGCGAGCTGAGAAGTTGGTCGCGAACCATTGTTGGTGGAGGCGTCGATGGAGGTCCGGATGGAGCCGCCGTTGACGAGCGCGATGGGGGCGTCGGTCCAGCCGGTGGCGGGGCGCTGGAACTCCGCGGCCTGCGACACGCCAGCGACACGCCAGCGACACGCCAGCCAGCTCGTCAGACAGGTACAGTGGGCGAGAAGAACGGCGCCTCCGGCCAGAACTCTCGACGCGTTTCAAGCTCCAGAGTCGCTAAACTGGACTCTAACCGAGCGTGTGACCGCACCAATGGATTGCTCTCCGGACGAGGAATCCATTGGGGTCACATGCTTGGTTTGAGTCCCATTTGGCGACTCTTGATCCCAAAACGCATCCGGGATTTCGACCGCCTCCACTGGCCTTCTGGCCCACTGTGGCGGCCCCAAGGTGTATACGCACCCCGTAGACGAACGAGTCCGCGATGAGGTTGCCCAGGTTGCACTCGTGCGCGCGGCAGCTGCCGTCCAGCAGCACAGCGGTCCTGCCGATGGGCTGCAGCACTTTGTCGTTGAGCTCGGCCTTCCACTTGAGCACCTCCGTCAGCGTGTCGGGGTCTGAAACGTCCGACACGTTGATCCACAGGCAAACAGAGAGGGTGTAGGCGGCGGCGGTTGCGAAGGCGGCGAACGCGTTTTCGAGTGTGGTGGCTGTGGCACTCGGCGGGGCCGTGGCGGCCGCAGCGGCCATAGCCATTCTCATGCAAAGCCTTTGTGGGGCCGCCGAGGCTCTCCGCGGCGCACCGTCAAACACGGCACTGGTGGCCTTGAGTGCGATTGGAGGCCCTGAAAGCGCCCGAAAGCCAGAACCGCTTTCGGCAGCCAGCAGATTTGGCGAGATAGAACCTTCGCGGAACAACAGTCTAGGGGCCTGCGCTGACGTCCATTGAGCGAGAACTATCGTCTGCTGGTGGGGCTTGGGTACACCTCGCACAGTGGGCCAGAAGACCAGTGGAGACGGTCAAAATCCCGGACGGGTTTTGAGCTCCAGATCCGCTAAATAGAGCTGGAACCGAACGTGTGACCCCATCAATAGATTCCTCTTCCGGAGAGCAATCCATTGGTGGGGTCACACTTTCGATTCGAGTCCCATGTACCGACTCTCGAGACCAAAAAAGTTTTGACCGCCTCCCGGTGTTCTGGCCCACTGTCCCTTGACGGAATGGCCATTCAAACCGCCCCCCCCCCCTCAACTCACCCTCCTCTACGTCCTTGTTGAGCAGGATGGGGCCGCCCTGCAGGTCCTGCAGCTCGCCCTCGGCGTCGAACTTAAGCTTGAGCTTGCCCATGTACTTGGTGAAGGCGTAGGCCTGCACGACGGGCACCCTCCTGCCCGAGTCCTGCGTGATCCACGTCGGGTACAGGCCGACGGGCACGTCGTTGTCGGGCGGGGTGCCGGTGTACAGGAACGAGTGGCTGTGGCCGCCCACCACCACGTCGATGTCGGGGACCTGCTTGGCGATCTCCTGGTCCCGCTGGTAGCCCGAGTGGCCCAGGCCGATGATGATGTTGACGCCCTGCTTCTTGAGCTCGGCCGCCTCCTTGGTGATGGCCTCCACCTCGTCCTACGGAAGTAAAGGGCCATGAAGGCGGGTTCCCGCGCGCGTCGAGGCGTTTGTACCAGCATTACGCACCACGAACTGGACGTTGTCCGGGCTGGCCAGGAATTTCGTCTCCGGGGTGAGGTAGCCGATGATGCCGATCTTGTAGCCGCCGCGCTCGAGGACGACGGACTTCTTGAGCTTGCCGCTCGTCTCCAGTGCGGCCAGCGTTGGCTCCTGGGAGTAGTCGAGGTTCGCCACCACCAGGGGCACCGTTACCTGCTCTACGAACGGCACCAGGCCCTTGACGTGGTCGTCGAACTCGTGGTTGCCCAGGGTCACGGCGTCGAACTGGAGCAGGTTCACGAACTTGGCGGAGATGTCGGCCTTAAAGATGGAGAAGTAGACCGTCCCCTGAACAGGAAAGAGGCTTGATTATTAACTGGAAATGAGCTCTGGTCGGAGTGGAACCCTTGTGCTGATGCCGGCGGTACCTGGTACGTGTCGCCCGCGTTGAGCACCAGGACGTTGGCGTCGTCCTTGCGGGCCTGCTTGATGACGGTGGCCATCCGCGCCTGGCCGCCGTAGCAGTTGTTGGCCTTGGCGTCCGAGTCCGAGCAGGTGCCGGACAGCTTGTTGGTCTGCTCGTAGCGCGCGTGGACGTCGTTGACGTGCAGCAGGGTCAGCTCCAGGCCTTCAGCCGGCGCCTGCACCACCTTGGCGGGCAGGGCGAGGCAGCCCTGGAGGCAGCCCGCCGCGCACAGCAGCAGCGCTAGTACTCTCGGCATCGCGACTGCAACACGCCGTTGTCGTAGGTCAGGGCTCAGCGTGTCTGGCCGCTGAGCATCGGGACGAGGGTTCGCGCCCCTCCACGGCCACTTTCATTTCCCCTCCGGCGACACGGCAGGGCGCGGCGCGGCGCACACCTCGGCCCAGGGGCCCTGGCCTCGGGCCTATCCGTGGAAAGTCTACACAGCGGATACGGCAGCCACTGGCTGGACCCATCGATTATTAAGGCGGCCAGGCAGGGCAGGCAGGCAGCAGCAAGGGCCCAACTGTCTGGAGCAGGCGTGTGCGGCAGGGCCGGAATATAAAGCAGAGGCAAAAACAAGCAGGCTTACTCGACCTGGCCACGGGCCGGCCGGCGGGGCGAGGAGGGCCGGGAGGGGCTCCGGGGGACTCGGGGGACTTGGGGAGGAGGGGGGGGGGCGCTCACGTGATTTATCTCGCAATAACTGTGCGTCGAGTTAAGGGGAGACCCTTCCGACAATATGGTGTTTTAAGTTCACACAAGACAAGGCGGATTTAGGCCGGAATTATACGGACGGGCAGCTGCTGGCCAAATCCCCTTCCCGCGTGGCGGCGCGTGGCGGCGCGTGGCGGCGCGTGGCAGTGCGTGGCGGTGGCGCGGACCCCTGGACGCGCCCCCAGAGGCCTCGGCGGCGCTCGGCGGGGCGAAGTGACGACATAATTCCGCAGTAAAGACGGAGAGCGGCGCGGCAGGCGGAAACGAGCCGAAATGTTGGTCATTTGTTTGTCGGGCGGATGCTCGGAACGCGCTCGGGACGCATTGAGGTGGTGGCACCCCGCCGCGCCCCGCCCCGCCCCGCCGCCACGCTACAGTGAGCGCAGTTTGTCAACCGCATTGAAACGAAGGCACTGCGTTCCCCTCGGCCGCGCTGTGCGCCGCGCCTCACGTGAATCCTTCCGGGTCAACCTGAATGCGCGGCGCGCGCCGTGTCTGTCTGTCTGTCTGTCCGTCTGTCTGTCCGTCCGTCCGTCCGTCCGCCGGGGGCCTTCCTCGCTCCTCGTCGCCGCGGTGAAGGTCAGCGGCGGCGTATGACGTCGCCGTGACGTCGCCGTGCTGTGCCTGCCCGGCATCCTATTAACTTCCCGCACCGTCTTCTATTTTATCATTATGTGGCGGCCGCAGGCCGGACCGCATGGCAGTGTGATGTAACGCACCGAGGGAGACTCACGGAGGCTGCCGAAGCCGCAGGCTGTCGCGTGCAACTGTGGCGCTGGCGGTGTTGAGGACCACGACGACGACGACGCGGACAACGACGCGCCGCAAATTCTGAAAGTGTGGCGACCGACGGCGAGCTGGCCGGGGCAGTGAGGAGGCGGCAGGGCGGCAGGACTCGGCAGATAGTGCTCGCTAAGCCCCCAGAGCGTTATCGACGGTCCGGCATGCACTGCTTAACGCGACGACGCCGTTCAACATGCCATCGCATGCCGTGCAGCCCGGCACGAGTCAAGTCAAGTGTTTTCGCTGTTGACGCGCGCGCCGTTTGGCCGTAGAGGCTTTGCCCCCAGGGGGGCCGGCCGGAAAATACGTGACTAACGAAGGGACCGTCAAGCGGGCCCTGAACGCGCGGGAATGTGTGTGTGTGTGTGGGGGGGGGGGGGGGCAAAGTGTCGCCTGACGCGTGACACGCACGACGAGCGCGTCGGCAGACACGGCGCCGCTGTTGGCTCGGAAAGTCCGTCCCGTTCGTCGCGTGTTTGCACGGCGAGGCGGAGCGCGCTGTGCAGTGGAACAGTCGCCCGCCTCTCGAAAGGGAATGGCGAAAGGCACGCGGCTGGCGCGGCGCGGCGGGGAACGAAATGAATGAAATGCGAGAGTACTTCCAGTGGCGGCGCTAATTTGGCGGACCGCGTTGGCCGCGTTTACCCAAAGGGCCCGCGACCCGCGGTGCCACCGACGCGGCCGAGGCGCCGCGCTGCGGGTCCAGCAGTGCGTTATCGCGCTGCTTGGCTGCTGACCCCGCTGTGCGCGCACCACTCAAATTACATCAAAGCAACAACAAACTACACTGCGCAGAACGAGAGCGCTGAGCGCGGACGGAAGGATTGGAAGACGAAATCCTTACCGTGTGCTAACGGCCGTGAATGGAGGCCGGTGCTTGCGAGTGAGTCCCGGGCGAGTCCTGGGTGAATCCTCATCGGCTCAGCCCTGCTGCATGCCCACGGGTAATTGAACCCAAGTGCGGTTTGGGCTCGCTTAAAGCCGACCACGCCCTCGCGCGCTGACAACACCACACACACACACACACACACACACACACACGGACACTCACACACGCGCGCGCTTCCCGGTACAATCCTGGATTAGGCCGGCACGCACCGCGTCGCACCGCCACCGGTTAGGTTAGGCTCGTCGCCCGGGCCACTTTGTGGCCGGGGCCTGCGCCGGGCCGAGAGTGACTGCCGCGGGCGGCGGCGGTGGTCGCGGAGGCAGCGGTGGCGGTAGCGTTTCTAGCGGTAGTGGCGGTCGTAGCGGTGGCGGTAGTTGTTCTAGCGGTAGTTGCGGTGGTAGCGGTGGCGGTAGTGGCGCGGCGCCGCCGTCGGCCCGCGGTACGAGAGCCGCTCGGCGCGCACACACTGCCAGGCCGCCGCCGGGCCGCCATCGTGACATGATAAGACGACGCGTGTCAAGAAGCCAAGCATCGGCGAAATACCTCCGCCGCGCCCTGCGACCCTCGGAAGGCAGCTGACCCACTTCCCGTTAAAACACCAAGCGCGTCAAAACGCTGCTAATGATTTCAAGAAAATTATTCCGAGAGTGTATACTACAGTGGAAGTGGACCCTTATCGGCGCCCCCTGCTCTTCTGCTTTGTTTTTCGGGTCTCCGATTAGTCGGTCGCGGGGACTCCCGGGCGGATTATCACACGATGCGCGATTTTGCGCGTCCACAGAGTTTTGACGTAGATAAAATAAAAATTACTGCGCCGGGGGCCCCTTGGCTGCCTTTGGCTGCCTTTGGCTGCCTTTGGCTGCCTTTGGCTGCCTTTGGCTGCCTTTGGCTGCCTTTGGCTGCCTTTGGCTGCCTTTGGCTGCCTTTGGCTGCCTTTGGCTGCCTTTGGCTGCCTTTGGCTGCCTTTGGCTGCCTTTGGCTGCCTTTGGCGGCCCTGGGGACGGCAGGGCTGCTCGCCGCGGCCCGCCCGGCCCGCCGGCCAAGTTAATGGACCTTGAAACAGAGATAGGGAAGCGCGGGCCGCTAAGGGATTCCCCTTTCTCGGGTTCGGCGGCGGCTAAAAATAAAACGGGCAGCGCTTTCGGCTTTTCGGATCGGCCGGCGAGCTCGCGGTGCATCCGCCGTTCATCTGTTCGATGATGATGACGAATGTGACTCCTGGTTGAACCGTTCCGAGGCGCGTGCTGCGGCGGGACGCGCGACGCACGCCGCGCTCCTGGAGTGGCTGCTGGAGGCGCGGAGGCTGAGCCGAGCTGAGCCGCCCCCGCTTTGTCTTCGTTATGGGCGACAGGCCGGTGACAGTGTGAAGGGTGCGAGTCCAGTGCAGGTGCGCCTGTCTGATAGCCGATAATTGCAGTCATTTGTCTTGTCGGGTCGGACAATTTTCAGGGAGGGCCGCGACGCGCCGCGACATCGCGCCGGTCTGGTTTTGGCGGAATCCTACGCAGACGCGGCCTCCGAGAAGCGATCCGGGCTGCAGCAGTCGCCCCGGTATCTGTGATTGATGCCCAGTTTGGTGAACGGTATCTATTCGCTTTAAACGTGCGCCCTCGGCTTTGTGCCGCCTCGGTCTGCGCCGCGCGACGTCCTTTGCTTCGGCGGTGAGTTGATTTTCGTGGATGCCGCGGGCGTCGCCGCGTCGCCGCGTCCCGGAGGTCCGCTGGGGGTCCCGGCGGGGCGTCCTGGCCCGGCGTCTCGTCCTTACCCCGAGAGACACCCTGCGTGCCGGAAGGGCGAGGCACGCGGCGCACAGTGGGCCAGCGAAGCAGCGAAGACCGGTGGAGGTGACCAAAATTCCAGACGCGTTTTGAGCTCCAGAATCGCTACACAGAAGTCGAATCGAACGTGTGACCCCCACCAATGGATTCCTCGTCCGGAGAGCAATCCATTGGTGGGATCACACGTTCGATTCCAGTCCTGTTTAGCGACTCTGGAGCTCAAAACCCGTCCGCGATTTTGACCGCCTCCACCGGTCTTCCGGCCCACTGTGAATAGCCCCGCCGCCACGCCAGCAGTCATCTGCGCCCCGCGGGCTGCGATTTCCGAGCCGCCGAATTCCTGGGGGTCCACTTCGGGCCACTTCGGGCCGTGTCGTTGGGGCCGTCGGGGGGCCGTTCTGCGTGTTCCAGCGCGTGGCTCGGCGCGTCCTCGTCGCGGTGCCTCCGCCCGCCGTCGCGGCGTCCCCTCTGAGCAAAGCCAGCGGCCTGGGGCTGGCGACGGCCTGGAGGCTCGGGCCGGCACGGCAGGGCGGGGCACACGCGCGGGGCACATACAAAGCGGAGTCATATCTCTCCTGTCGCCGCGCAGCAGCGCAGCAGCGCCGGGCAGCCGAGGCCGCGTGATCTGGCCGCCCTTCCCCATCGGCCCTTCGGTCCTTCGGTCCTTCGGGTGGGCCGGGCGGGGTGTGTTCGGAAGGGCTCCCTCCCAGGAACAGGACGGCGTGATTGGAAGCAGACCCGAGGCCGGCGCCGAGTCTCTGACGCCGCGCGGCGCCCCGGGCGACGTGGTGCCTGGGGCGCCTGGCCGACGCGAACGAACGCCTGAAGGTGCCCGGAGTCCCGGAGGCGGCGAGGGGCCGTGACACCGATGCCCGGAGGAGACCAGAGGACCCGGCGCCGAGCCCGTGCCCCGGGAGGGACTCGAACCGGGTCGCCCCGTATTGCGTTGCGTGACCTGAGAACATGATTCTGCCTATTTGAGCGTCGCTGGCGGTCGCGCGGCGCGGGGCGGGTCGAGGCGGGGCGGGGCGAGGCCATAATGCATGCCGAACTAAACTCCAGGCCGATCCATCACCCGGGAGTACACACTCATCTCCGGAGTTTTTTTTTTTTTTTTGTCGCCTGTTTTAAATGTTGATTCTTTCAATACAAACAGCCGCGAGGTACGTGACGGCGTTGTGAATCCAGGTATGACACGGCAGGACACGCACTCGACAGGCGTGTGTGCGTCGCGCTGCGAAACGGCAGACTTGTTGGTCTGCAGAGGCGAGTGGTCAGCGAGTGCGCGGCCGCGGCGCCGCGGGAGGCGCGTTGGTCTGAGTGTACAGTGTACGCGGACGGCGGGACCTCCCCTCCCCGCCCCTCCACCCTCCGGCCGAACTGCCTTGGAGATTTATGTCCTTTGCAATGCTTATCCGGTCCGGATCTGTGTCCTGATTCTCACCACCCACAAGACCCCCTCCTTCCCCTCGAGGCGAGCTTTGCTTGCGTGCCGCCGTCTCGGCCCGGCCGCCCATGCGGCACGCCGCATCTCCCATCTCCTCCACCATGAGCCTCCACCCTCCGGCCTCCACAGGCTCGTTCGGCTAGTTATTGTTTTGCAAAATGTTTGGCGTCGCGGGCCGGGCCGAGCATAGGGCCCTGCGTGGCCCTGCGTCGCTCTGCGCCGTCGTGAAACTTGTTGAGGCACTACTTGTTGGCCCTCATCGCAAGGCGCACTTTCACGCCACTGGCAGGATCGCGCGAGGACATGCAGCACAGTATGGGCCAGAAGACCGGCGCCAGCGGCCAAAACTCTAGACACTGTTTGAGCTCCAGAGTCGCTAAAAGGGACTCGAACCGAACATTCACATGTGACCCCACCAATGGATTCCTCTGCTGGCGCGGAGAGCAATCCATTGGAAGGGTCCTACGCTCAGTTCGAGTCCCATTATAGCGACTCTGGAGTTCAAAACGCGTCCAGAAGTTCATGAACGTGGCCAGAAAGATACACAAGTCCGCCCCAGCACTGTGCGCCCGGTGCTGCCACGCCCGCGGCTCGGCGTCGCGTCTCGCAGTGTACGTTTGACGGCGCCGTCCTCGGACTCGAAGTGGAGTCGAGTGGATTACTCGCGATGCCGGCAGCACTACACTGTAGCCATCGGGGAGAGCGCCGGTCGGACCGGGCCGGGCCAGCACTGCCCCGAGCCTATATTTCAGGACGGCCTCCGCTTTCATCCTTTCGCCCTTTTATCCCCCTCGCCCCTCGCTTCACTTAAGGGATGACGGCCCGAATTTAATCATCAGAAAGCCACTCAAACCCCACTAAATAACGTGTCTGGAAATACCAATAATATTGAAAACGAGGGGAGCGGAAGCCGGGCCGGCTGTCGGGCGGCGCCCTAGTGATTTTTCCGGTCGTGCCGTCAATCCATTTTGGATCTGTTTGCCGGGTGGTCCGCGGTGTGGCCGTGCGCCATGGGACGAGGCAGGCCGTCGCGCCGAGGTCGGCGGCCTGCAGACTCATTCCGAGAGTCGTTTTCGTCGCTCTGTCTCTCTCGCACTCATGGGGCGTCCCGATAGGTGCGAGAGAGACCGAGCGACGAAAACGACCCTCAGTCCGCTGGCGGCCTGGCCCTCTAATCAGAGACGCCGACTTAACGCAATCCCAGCCGCCCGGCCGCCTGGAAGGGATGCGCTGCGGGACGAAAAAAAAACAACAAAAACGAGCCGACAAGTAATTGAATTTCGGGGACAAGGTACTTTGAGACGCGGCGCTGCTGCGGACCTGATCGCCGCTCGCCAAACGAGGCCCAACTGTGTAATTTGGTTACGCTCTCCGCAGGCCAATCACTCTGATGGCCCTGCGAACGGCTGTCCAGGATCACGAAGGCCAGCCAGCAGCCGCCAGCAGCGCGGAGCACGGCGACGCGACCCGGTGGCCCGGCTAGGCCCGCCTAGGCCCGCCAAGTGAGCGCCGCGAGGCGGGCCACCGCCCGCGGGCAGCACGCCCGTGCCGGACGGGCGGCCTACCCTCACGTTCGCAGGCGCTCCCCGCCCGAGGCGCCCACTCACAGTGGGCCAGAAGAGTGGCGCAGGCGGCCAAAACTGAAGACGTGTTTTGAGATCCAGAGTCGCTAAACAGGCCTTGAACCGAACGTGTGACCCCACCAATGGATTGCTCTCCGAACGAGGAATCCATTGGTGGGGTTACAAGCTCGGTTCGAGTCCCATACAGCGACTCTGGTGCTCAACGCGTCCAGAGTTTTGGCCGCCTCCGCCGGTCTTCTGGCCCACTGTGCGCCTTGACTCCGCCTTGGAGAACAAGTGTCGCCCCATCCGTCTCGGCCTCGGCCCCGGCCTCGGCCTCGGCCA